TTGCTTCTGCGGGGGAGAGAGTTCTGGAGCTGGGATGCAAGAAAGCCTGAAAACACCTTTATGAGGAGCTGATGTGCAGTCTGTGTGAAAATTCAAAATATACTCCAATGGGATGCGAAGGTGAGTGACACAGTGCTGAGCAACTGCATTGGCATAGCACTCTGAATGGGTAACTATTAATAATGAAGGAGTTTAGATTTAAAGATGTTCAGCATTAATATAAACAATACCAGTGTTTGCCAGCCTGTGTTAGTTGGCACAGGAAAGAGCGAAGTAAAATTGTAGTTCATCTTGTTCACCTTATACAAATCATACAACCTTTGAAAAGGCTAAAGTAATGAGGATTTGTGTCCTGGCAGATGATATTTGAAAGGGACTGCACAAAGGAAGGAATGTTGCTACTTTAGTAGATTATGATAGAAGAAAGTGAAATTTACCATACTGCAAAATGGCAGATTTGTGTAGGTGATGCTTAAAAGCTAAACATCCTTATTCCAGATTCAGCTTCAAGTATGTAGTCACAAAGGCATGGATGCTGTGAGACTGAAGGAAGCTTTTCGAAGACCTAGCAGTTTTTATGCAAGTCATTGGGTTTGTGGTGGTCTTCTCTATTATGATACTTTCTGTTAACTTTAGTCTTTTTTCTCTACCCAAAAGCTTCTCTTGCTAGTTTTCTCTTTGTGTTTGCCTGAAATTATTTTTGCTATAACTTTTATGGAAAATCTGCCCCCCTCAGTCTTAATGTGCTTGTGCTCTGAATTCTGGTTCTGTAAAATCATCTGTTTTCTTAGCTTTCTGATCCACTGTACATTTATGTAGCCTTAAAGATGCTAAACTGAGTTTAAAATAGTTTTCTTTGGCTTTGCAAAGCAGTCTGAAGGGAAACCTACGTTGCTTCCCTTTTGAACCATTTTCTAAGATAAATCAGTTGCATGAAGCCACTGAAATCATAGGAAAGTGTCCAGAATTGTACAGAGGCAGGGGAATGGGTGTCCAGGGTCTGGCTAGTCAGAGACCTAAGTGTAGGCAGCAGTTAATGCTGTCCTCCAGAGCCAGGAGGCTTCTGTGGGTGGTTTGTGGTTGTTACCATGAGAAAGCTCTTCATTTGCACTTCTGCCTTCCTGAGGGTGTGCATACAGAGCCCCATTTCAGACGTGACCTCTGTGCAAACAGTTTGGAGGCCATCAGGCTGCAGATCCAGCGCTTTCTTCAGTCTGTATGTTCAGCTGTTGCTGTGACCGTGCATTGTGACCCCTGCATACTGAGCCAGTGTTTGGCAGGCAGATGCTGGCTAACCTCATTGCATATTTACATTTTGGTGCAAGCAAGAAGTGAATAAATACGCTGTGTTGCAATCTCAAGTTAATCTGTACCCACCGCGGTGATTACTTCAGACAGTCTGGTGGCCTTCTGCGATGGAATGAGTGGACAAAGGATGTCATCTCCTTGGGTTTGAGCAAAGCCTTCAGTATGGGCCCACACCACGTTCTTATCCCTAAATTGGAGGGATATGGATTTCATAGGTGAGCTATTTGACGGAGCAGGAATTGGCTGGATAGTTGCAAGCAGAGGACTGTGGTCAATGGCTCTGCATCCAGGTGGATGTTGGTGGATGAGTGGTGTGTCCCCCAGCATTCTGTCTTGGTCCCAATGGTTTTCAATGTCTTCATCAGAGATCTAGGTAACGCAATCGAGTACAGCAAGTTGCTTATGACATAACCTATGAAGAAAGGTTGAGGGAACTGGGCATTTTCTTCCTGGAGAAGGCTCTGGGGAGACCTTGCTGTGGCCTTCCAGTGTTAAAGTGAGCTTGTAGGCAGGAAAGAGACTGATTCTTTTACAGGTTCTGATAGTGATAGGACAAGAGGAAACCGTAAACTGAAAAAGGAGGTTTAGATTAGATACCCAGTGAAGCTGTGGTGCCCCATCCCTGAAGGTGTTCAAAACCAGGCTGGAAGGGCCCTGGGCAGCTTGATCCAGTGGGTGGCAGCCCTGTCCACAGGAGAGTGTTGGAATTACATGATCTTTAAGGTCCCTTCCAAGTCAAGCCATTCTAGGATTCATTTTGTGATTGTATGATTTTTTATTTTTTTATTTTTTTGTAGTGGATTTAACCTGCAGAGTATTGCTTCCTCACAACTTTTAGGCAGGTCAGCAACTCGAGTGCAGTGCTTTGGCCGTTTTGTTTATAATTTATTTGGAAAAAACAGTAGACTGTTCATGGATTTGTGCTGCAAATTTGCAGCAATGATGTTAAGAATTTGCTATTTATTCTCTATACTTTAATTCTTGCTTGGGGCTCCATGGAGCTTACGAGATTGGAAGGTTTGTTTGTGTCACTTTGACCAGGCAGGATAAGAGAACATGCATGTGAGCCTTGGCGACCTCACAGTTTGGCACCTTTGTTTAGCTAACTGATGAGAGCAAAGAAATGGTAACAAGTCAATAACGTGTGATTGAATTGCCTCTGTGGGTTGCCAGGACATTGGCTTAAATGAGAAATTGTTCCTGGTGCAATTTGTACTGAGATAAAAGTATATCAGGTGAGTACAGTGAAGTCATATGGTCATATTGAAGTAATGATCTGCTTTATCTGCCAGGCTTTTCCACAAGAAATGAGTATTCTATAAAATAAAATTCTCATCTTGGAAGGCAGAAAATAAAACTCATTAAGATCATAGTTTGCAGTCAGAGAAAAGAAGTTCATTTCAATCGTGCTCAGTCCAAGAAGCATTGAGGTTACTTTAGAAGAAGAATACCTGTGTGAGTCATGCTTGCCAAAGAAGAGGACGACCAAAATTTGATGAGATTGTGTGAAGGACTCGTATCTGCAAAGTTGGCCTAAGGAATCTCGGAAAATTACTTGTAGTTGGGAATATAAGAGGTGATATGTCAGTAGCAGCAGAATTTTAGGGCAATACAGGCCCCAGTGCAAAAAGTAAATGGTCTTTGGCTTTATACAAGGACAAAAAAAAAAAAAAATATTGCAAAGAAATCAAGGTAAGTTGTCTGTGAATGCTATGGAGTAAGCTTTTTTTTTTTTTTTTTCCCCCCCCTGAAAGAGGGAATTTCCACGTTCAGATTTGTAGTCTTTAGTAAGTAAGCAGTGCCTCTTTTTAACTTCAGTTGTTTTGATGGTTGCAGTCTGTTAATTTTCTTACCTTTCTAACTTCCTTCGACGTTCTTTTGAAGTTTCCCTTGTTTTGTGTGGCAGAATACTGGGCATTTTCCTTTCTTATATTTCTTATCTCAATACTTCATTCCCCAGATTTTCATTTTTCCCTCCCTCTCCGTCTGTCTCACCCCTAACTGTTGTTAACTTGAAAATCTGTGAGATGTGATTTGTGCTGGAGTGCTTTAAGAATCCAACACAAGAGATGGAGCACCTCTTGGAAGGACAGGCTGAGAGCCTGGAGAAGACAAGGATCTGGGGGGAGACTGAGTGGAGGAGCCATAGATACTGAGTGACCCCTCCCCAAGAAAGAAGGGGACAGACTCTTTAGAAGGGTCTGCTGTGATAGGACAAGGGGAAATGATTTCAAACTAAACGAGGGGAGATTTACATTGGACATAAGGAAAAAGTTTGTTATGGTAAGAGTGGTGAAGTGCTGAACAGGTTGCCCAGAGACCTAGTGACTGCTCCATCCCTGAAGATGCTCAGGGTCAGGCTGGACCAAGCTCTGATGGAGCTGTAGGCTCATTGCAGAGGAGGTGGACTAGATGACCTTTAAAGGTCCCTTTCAACTCAAATGATTCCATAATTCTCCGTCTATTTGTATTTCTTGAAGAGTCAATGGTATCCGGTGGGTGAAATAAACTAATTCAGCCTTTGGCCTGACAAATCATTAACGTGACACATTACGACTAACAAGTACTGGTCTTTGTGCAGCCATTTGCACCAGTCCTGGAGGCTTGTCAAAGTGGTGCATTTCATACTGTTTTTTTGTCGTTGCTTGTTTGAAAAGCTGAGACACAGGGAGATAATGTTACTTGAAAGAAGACAGGAACAGTAATGTGTGAAAACAGCAACTGAGTTTTATCTCTCTCTCTCTTTTTTTTTTTTTTTTCTTAATAGAAAGATAATCACGTTGCCAGGCAAAGGGGGGAAACAGTCGTCTTTTTCTCAAATCATTGGCTTGTTCCCAGGCATATGTCAGCCTAAAGCGTTCCCAGAAGAGCTTTGGATAGAATTCAGGTGCTAGTGTCCTAGGAACTGTTTCAGCAGGCAGTTCACATGCAGCTAAACTTTTCTGAAGATGGAGAGGTGTTTCCAGTGTGAATTCAGGCCATTTTGTGCCTTGATGTTGGAAATATTCATGGACACGTTTACATTTAACTCATGTAAGTGAGCGTGAAAAGTCCTATATCCTAGTGGGATATTTTGCCCATTGAACTGCTAGGATAGCCACAAAAACCATCTCACAGTAGAGTCAGCCTTAATTTTCTTTTCGTGGGGAATGAAATCTTGCTGACGGCAAGAGGACTCCTTGTTTTTCAAATATTCAGATAGGGTTGGTAATCTTACTGTGTAACTCCTTCTAAATCATCGTGGTTCTGTTTGGTTGAATTATGCTGATTTTTAATTTTGAATGCAGATGACTTATCTGTTTAGCTTTCAACTACTGCCACTTCAGGAACGAGATTGCACTGCTGTAGTTACTGCATCACAGGGGCTCAGAGGGCTGTCCAGAAGTAGCCTGAAGAAGACAGTAGTGCAAGCAATGTCAGTGCAGACATTGAACTTGTTTTGTAAGTCATGTGATGCCTCTTAAATTTTTACAATGCTCTTATCTTCTTGCACACCTTTTATTTCTGAGGACATATTACAAGCGGATTGCAGGGAAAGGGCACTACTAATACAGGCTGTGGTGTGCCTTTTTGTCTTGCATAGGCTTTGCATATATATGGAACAGATATTTTGTGGGGCTGTGGAGTGTGTCTTTTGCACGTGGGACAGATACTGTGAAAACAGTGCTAATTCTTTTTCTTTTGTATTTTAGGGACTCGAGGTGTCTTTAATAACCATGAGCAACCCTTTTGTACAGATTGTGGAGCCACTAGATGCTACACAGCCTCTGAAGAAGTTCTTTAATCTGAGCAAATTGGAAGACGTGAGATATGGTACGTTGACAACACAGGGAAAGCATTTAATTAGCTTTGGTGAACAGTACCAGAGGCACTGCAGCGTTGGGTGATAACGAATCTGTGACTGTACAGTCACAAAGAGAAGTATGAATTCAGAAGATATTTCTTGAAAACCAAAAAGCAGAATTTATTTCTGGAAACTTAGAATTACAGAAGTACCAACGAGTTGATAGTGTTATTTTTCTCATCATGTTGTGCAGGCAAACTGCACGTTGCAGTTGTGTTTTTCCAAAATGAATAAGGAGGGCTAGCCAGATTTAAGTTTTCACTCCACAGCTGTGAAAGGCTGGAAATGACCTGACTCTGATATAGCTAAATCATCCAGAAAAATTGTTCAAATATAAAAGGAACAATGAATAGAGGTGAGAATTGTTTCTGAAGATGCTTTTTCTCACTGACACTTCCTGAAGGTTCTTAGACAACTTCTGTGTGTCACTGTTGAAAACCTTACAATCCATGCCACTGACCTAGAAAGCCAGTATCTATAGCTTATAGCTGCCTGTGTGGAGTGTTTCTCTTCCTTCAAAGAGAAAACAAGTGATTAGGAAGAATTCAGGAAACAAGCTTGGAAGAGAAGGAACATTTTGTTTGAATATTAAATGTATATCCATTGCAAGCTCAGATACCGTGTAAATTAACTGTGGACGTGGTCTCTGGAAAGCAAAGATGAGTCTTAAGAGCCAGGCAAATGCATGTATGTTATCAGCAGTTGTCTTATTTCAGAATCCCAAGAGGAATAAGCTCCATGTTCTGTAAAGAAAAAAAAAAAAAAGGGTGAAATTCTCACAGTCCAGCAGAGAGATGGAGTAACATACCAACTGACTGTGGCGGTGGTGGTGAATTACCAACCAACAAAAAAACCACAAGTGCAAGTGATTCTAAGTGATGAGATGACTTCTATGTCTCTGGGACCCTGGATAGAACATTACAACAGACTTCTCAGGGTTTTTTTTTGAATTGAAATATTTCAAGAGGGGATCTCAAACATCCATTATTGCAGATAAGCTTTTACCTTTTCTTCATACCCATTACTTATGGTAGGGCTGTCAAAGCTATTCTAATCTTTGGTAACATCTCACATGTACAAGGATTAAGCCAAAAGTAATGCTTTCTACTTTATTGACTCATGATATCAGGGCCAGATGCTGGTGGTGTGGCAGTAAAGGTTGAATCTTCCCACCAATTTTCCCTTACATCTTGTTGTCATGCAACAAATGGCAGCAGAGGGGTGTTCTGACAGAATGGTGTCTGGTGTGGAAGTGCAGATGAAGCAAAGGTGTGTCATTGAATTCCTCCCTGTGGAAAACACTGCATCCATTGACATTAATTGGTGCTTTTTGAATGGTTATGGACACAAAATGGTGGACATGAGTACTGTGAGGTGGTGAGCGATGTGTTTCAGCAGTTGCAGCAGTGATGTGAAAGACAAGCCATGTTCTGAATGGCCTTGCACTGCTGTCACACCGTGAAATGAAGAGCATCTCGATCAGGTCGTCCACGTGAAGCAGTGGATTGCAATTAGGGAGCTGTGTACAGAGCTGAATATCTGCTCCAATACATTGGAGATAATGGTGGCAGTGTTGGAATCTCACAAAGTTTGTGGCAGGTAGGTCCCAGGATTACTCAGACAGGAATGGAAAGAACACTGTAAGCAAGTCTGTCAGGAGCTATTTAACCAGTATGAAGATGAAAGTAACTGTTACTGGTGACAAGATGTGTTGTCACCTTCATAAGCCATAGTCAAAATGGTAGTCCACTGGGGGGTGGTGTGTGAATGGCCCCAAGAAGAAAAAGTTCAAGATGCAGCCCTCACCAGGTAAAGTGATGTGTGCTGGCTCTTGGAATAGGAAAGGGGTGATCCTTCTGGATTTCCTGGAGTCTGGTCATACCATCAACTCTGTCCACGTTGTAATGCTGAATAAGCTGAAGGCTCAAGTTTCTACAGTCAGGCCAGAGAGAAGACAACTTTCTCCTGCATTGATGTTATTGTGTTCTTTGTATCTGTTGTAGTTTCTCTGGAAATAATTAGGAGGCATTGCTTTTGGAGTGGCCTACATATTTCTGTCTTGAAGTAAAAGTTTAGCAGATGCACAAATACTGCAGTTCACTTTCATTCTCTTGAGAAGAAGAAAATGGTTCATCTAAACTATATTTTCAATTATTCTAGGCAGAAAATTGTATTTTTCTATTGCGTTTATACACCTCTTTATTTATTACCTCTTGCCCATGCAGGACGCCTTCCATTTTCTATTCGAGTCCTCTTAGAAGCAGCGATACGAAACTGTGATGAGTTCCTAGTGAAGAAGCAAGATGTTGAGAATATTCTCAACTGGAAAGTGGTGCAACATAAGAATGTTGAAGTGCCATTTAAGCCTGCACGAGTTATTCTGCAAGATTTCACGTGAGTCTGATGCTCTCCACAGGTAGCAAGAGGGGTTTTTGAAACTGCAGGAGTACTTAGCTTGGGATGGAGAGGATGAGCTGAAAGAAATAATAGCAATGAAATGCTGGGAGAGACTATGTTCACCTTTCCTGGATATTATTATGCAGACAGCTCTTGGGGAGGCAAATGCTTATAATGAAAGTGTAGATGAAGTACCTCTGAGATGCAGAAATAAATATCTTCATGAAGGTCCCCAAAAAAGGAGAGAAAGTAAGATGGATATGTTTGCATGCAAATGAAGAAACTTAGAATGAGAGATTTTGCTGGTTTCTTTTTTTTTTTTCTCCTGGTTTTCTTTTTCAGTTTATTTCTGGAGAGGCTCTAGCTTTTAATGTTTTACACTTTTCAGTCCTCATTTATAAGCCCCATCATTGCTTTCTGTTCTAAATCACTATTATTCCAAGTGTATATTTTTTAAGACTTTTGAAAAAATGAATGTCTGCTTTTCCTCAAAAATGTCAGTTGAGATTCCTACCTGATGGACTCTGAAACTAGGCCCTGTTATTGCAGTGGTGGTAATACCCATATGTTAGTGTGTCCCTGATAGATGTGAAAAGTAAATTTTCAGGTGAAACAGTAACTTCTAACTGTTTTTAATAGGGCTTTTGACATGAAAGTCCACATTACTTTGAACCTTTGTCCTGTACCTTTGTACAGAAGCTGAGATTTCAGTTCTTCCGTGGCAAGCCCTGTGCTGCTAAGCTGTCACTTTATTTTGTTCTTCAGGACTGTAATGTGTCTTGCCTGTTGTACCTGCTGGTTTGTATTTCCCCAAAGGATGGCCACTGGATGGGGGCCCAATACAGCTCAACTTTTGAAGATGTTGAGCTTTGATTAAAAAAAAAAAAAACAACAAAAAAAGCTGGTTTACTAGATACTCATTTTTGGCTGTTGGCTGTTGCAAGCCTTAAAAAAAAAAAAAGAGTATGGAGGCAACCAGTTTTCAAGCAAGCTTTGTTCCCTTTGTTACTGCTTATCTTATTCCTTTCTTTCCAGCTGAATTATAAAAAATTTGTTTTAAATCTGCCGAGCAGCTGTATTTAAGAACATGTTCCTGAGTGGGAGCTTTTAGAAAATGGAGCTTTTGGTAGCCTTACAGCAGCCACGTAACAATTACATTCATAGATCATGCATTAGGATTATTGAATTTACTAGATTTCACTGTTCTGCAATCATGCTCTGTTTTTCTGAGTATATAGATGAGTATTGTATCTGTTTCTTTTCAGTTGCATGAGGTTTGTAAATTGGTAAATGGATCTTCCTCTCACCTTCTTCCACCTCTGCCCTCCCTCAAATCCATCCTTAATGCAGCATTGGCTTCTTTCCATGATGTATGCATATTCTGGGGGAAAAAAGCCAACAATCTGCTTTAAGCTATCAAACATCAACGGCTGATAGTGTTGAATGCTAGATGATGTGGAGCCTTTTTTGCTTGGAGAAAAGAAGGCTTGGGGTGGGGAGTGACAGTTCTTACCAGTTTATGTAAGTATCTGCATGGAGGGTGCGAAGAGAATGGAGTGAGGCTCCTTCCAGTGGTGCCAGTGGCAGACAAACAGAAAGCAATGGGTTGAAAAACAGGAGGTCTCCAGGAGACATTGCAGAGGTTCTGTCCTTGGAGATATGCATAAGCCTGGGCAGTGTGCTGTAGATGGCCCTGCCTGAGAAGGATGGTTGGACCAGAGGACCCCCCAGAGGTTCCTGACACCTCAGCCATGATTCTTCCTGCAGTTCTTCTGCTATATTTTAAAATTATAATATCATAATCAGGAGTCCAGAACAAATTCTTGCTCCCTGGGGCTACTCTTGCAAAAGCTTGTTCTTTGTGAGATACTGAGTGATATTAAATTATTACAGACACATCACAGACAACAGTTTTTGTCTCAGCAAATAGCACAGTGGGATTCGTTGATGTGCAAGAGGGTTTCCCAAATGAAATCCACTTCTGAAAATAGAGGTGTTCTGTAGTCGTGCCCTTTGATCTTTAAGAGGTCTTGAATACCCTGCTCTGCCAGTAGAACTAGCAGAGGCGTGGAAGGCACTTTTCAAATCAGGAAGAAGATTCTCCTGCATTTTACAAACCTTGGAATGGATGGTCTTTGCCCTGAAATCAGCTGAAAAAACATGGCAGAGAATGGAAAAGACATTATTGTTTTACTGCTCCGCCTGCCCCAAACTTTTGTTCTGTTTCTGTTTTTCTTTAAAGCATACTGGGAAGGAGAGCAGAACCGAGCAAAAGAAGAGAAACAAATTCAAGGTCCCAAAGGAATGCTGAATTGAACTATTTTTTCTAGAGTCCCAGCCAAGCATGTTAATCTCCTTGATGAACTTTGATGAATTTTGGTTTTGTTTTTTCATTGTTACAGCACTCAGAATGTAGATACAGTTCATCCTGTCCTGTAGTTCTGAATTCATCTGCCTTAGAGTGCTGACTCTGAAGTAGAATAATGATCCCAAGACTTAGGATGAGACCACAGTTTGCTTCCTGTGTGGCTTCAGGCGTCTGTTCTGAGTCTCAGGAGTTTGGCTGAATTTGTTTTGCCTTTTTTTTTTCTCCTTTCACATTGCCTAATTATCTTCTATTACAGAGGGGTACCTGCTGTTGTTGACTTTGCTGCAATGCGTGATGCTGTGAAGAAACTTGGTGGGGACCCTGAAAAAATCAATCCTATCTGTCCTGCTGATCTAGTGATAGATCACTCCATCCAGGTTGATTTTAACAGGCGGTAAGGATACAAAACATTTTTTACTTCTTAACGTTAGTAAGCTGGTAATGTAATTGGAGATATTCTAAGCATTAGAACCTGAGAAATGATGAAGTTAAAGCTTTGCATCAGTTGCTGTGAACAAAATAGAAATTTTATTCTTTCTGTAATGTCTTTCTCAGCCACACAAGCCTGGACTGAATGTCAGTAGAAACAGGCCCAGTCCAGACCTGTGGTGATCACAGTTTTCCATAATAATACTGCATTATTATTAGTTGTTCAGAAATAGCTTTTTTCCACTTGCACTTTTTGACCTTTGAGGCTTCCTGGAAAGGATAGGCAAGACTCTCTCCTTTCTTCCTTATTTGTGTAAGAGCAGACCTGAGCTGCCCTGACCAGCTGTTTGCTGATTCTCTGCCTCCACGGGGAAGAGCACAAGATATTGATTAATATGACTGCTAAAAGTATAGGAAAGAAGCGCAATGCAAGCCAATCCTGAATGGCTACAGGCAGACAAATGTTCACTAGACTCACAATTAAATCTAAGACCTTTATGGAGGGTTCCTTTTACCCTAATATGTAAACATGAGCCTACTAAAATACTCTTTGAAACAGATCATTGCGTATTTCTCTGTGGTTTCCTTCTGTGTACCAAACTTCTGAAGTTTGTTGGTCTGCAATTGCCTTGCCTGCAAAAACACTCTGTATTTATTGTCCTCTGTAAGAGAGAGTTTTGAAGTGGGCAAAAAAAGAGTAATAAGTAGAAATTAAAGAACACAAAGAACATTTTAGCAATGCCAATATTTCAAGGGCTCTGCTAAATGAAAATAATGAACTTCTGAGCAGAGATGTAACATAAAACTTGTTTCGGAGCGGAATGTTGACGGAAAGTTTTTAAATGTAACCATTTTTTTCCTTCCATTTTTTTTTTTTTTTTTAAATATTTTTGGCTAAAGGCTTATAGAGGCACAAGCTCACTGCTTCGGTTTTGCAGCTGATGGGAGAAAAAAGGCCAAAAAATTTTGAACATACGCTCCTGTCAAAAATGAGCTGCCTCTAAATTTTTGTAGAGGTATTATTGTGAATCTTAACACTAAGGAATTAAGGAACAGTCACAAAATTAAAAATAAGACTCATCAGTGAGTTAGTAGGTGCTTTAGCAGCAGTTTAATAAACTAGAAGCCTAATGTTTTAAAATTTGTAAATGACATCTGCATCATTTTTATTAGATCTTTCGAAAGTAGTACAATTTTTTCCCCCCCCTCACTTTCCCACTGTTTTGATCACTTTTCCTGTCTATTTTGATAACTTTCATTTTATCAGTCCTATTCAGGACTTTACTTAGATAATTTTTTGCTTATAGTTACTTTTTGTCCCAGCCTTTTTCTGATTCTACTCGGACCTTGTAGGTTTGGAGGGAATATTGGCCAGTCCTGGGCTTTAGTTCTTTCAAACTCTTCAGCCCTGGGTTGAGAGCTGATATAAGTGGAAAGTTTGTTAACCCTCTGTCTTAAACCACAGGGATAGCTACAGCTTAACTTTAAACTGCAAGGTAGTTGTGTTCCTTTTCTTCTTTGCTGATAATCCTTGTATTTATCAAGGCTGTGGAAACTTCACCTTGCTCTGATGCATAGTCTACCTTTTCCTAAAATACAGGTTTCAAGCCAACCATCTGTATGATATGCAGACTAGTGCTCAGATTTAAACTGAACTTGTTAAATAATACAAGCAATATTGATTACCTTTTCTTTGCTGCTGTGATGACATTAAAAGCTGAGATTGATCAGCATTAAAATTAGCTAGTAACTCTTCTTTCACCGTTGGGGCGTATTTGACCATACATAAATCTCAGGTGGACCCTTTTGATTGTGACAGATGATTATTTTCACTTGCAGATCAGACAGCTTGCAAAAGAATCAGGATTTGGAATTTGAAAGGAACAAAGAAAGGTTTGAGTTCTTAAAGGTACTGAAGTAGTTAATCTTATTTGCATGACCAAAGATGGAACAAACATAAATTCTTCCAGTGCTCACATGTGTCAAAAACTTTTGACTCTACTTTTTGTTTCAGTGGGGCTCTCAGGCTTTTAAAAACATGAGGATTATTCCACCAGGCTCCGGGATCATCCACCAAGTGAACCTGGAATACTTAGCAAGAGTGGTGATGGATCAGGATGGCTACTACTATCCCGACAGTGTGGTGGGCACTGACTCGCACACCACCATGGTAGATGGCTTGGGAGTACTTGGCTGGGGTATGTGCAGGGAACAGCCTATACCTTTTGAGTACAGTAAACTTTCCTTCCTGTAAAACAACTTTTCTGCTTTTGATTGGTAACCAGTAGTTACAGTACATTTCACAAACAGCACGCCAGTGTTCTGTGCCCTGTCAGGAGTTTTGTTCTGTTTATTCATGGCACGTTTAAGTCTTCAAATGAAACATTTGCATGTTCACTGTGAAATCCAAGTCTCTTCTGAGTGAATTACTTAGATTTATCTAATATCTCATCTGATAGCTGAGGATCAAGGCTAGAAATATGAAACTAAAGCTTAGCCTTGCAAAAAAAAAACCAGCTCTGCAAAAACTGAAGACAAATGACTGTTTACAGAGGTCTCAGCCCTGTTTTACTGTGTGTCTTCTCTCAACTTAAGTCAGCATAAAATACTTATAGGTTTATATACTACTAGGACTCTTTTGTGTCTTTTGGATAGTCTGATGATTTAGTTGTTGCTTCCAGGTGTTGGTGGCATTGAAGCAGAAGCAGTGATGTTGGGTCAGCCGATCAGCATGGTGCTTCCAGAAGTGGTTGGTTATAAGCTGCTAGGAAACCCTCAGCCCCTGGTAACATCTACTGACATAGTGCTCACCATTACCAAGGTAATGAACATGCCTTTTTTTTTTTTGTCATTAATTCTGAAAACCGCATGCGCTCTAAGAGCCACTTAGGATCCCTGTGTATACTTCCATGTAGTTGTTTTGATCCTTCTGACTTATTGCTCTGTGGATTGGAATCTACTACCCAAATTTGCTATGCAAATCTGTTTCCCAAAACGTAGATAAAATAGAGCAGAGTGCTGGTACCTAAAGGCCTGTTTAATTCCTCACGTGTAGGCCCATTCTGGAACGGCAGTATTTGTACAAAGTTCTCCATTCTTTATCATCAAAGTAAACAGAATGGCTCTGTTTTGAAGGCCACACTTAGAATGAGGCAATGTAGAAGCTGAAAACAGTAAGTACTGCAGTCCGAGGTCTTTGATTTACAGGCATTTTGCTCACATGCTCATAATGTGTTTATTCACTTTGTGGCTTGTGACTGAATTCAGACTATTAACTGAGTCAGCAGTAATGTTGAGTTGAAGCTCAGCAGTATGGTAGATATGTTCATGATGGGTTGCTGGCTTTAGAGAGAACCTCCAGCTGGGGAAAGCTAATTTTTTTTTTAGTTCATCCAAATGTCGTGTGTTTTCAAACATTTGCAGTTTGATTCTTGTGGAGATGGCCATTCTTGTTCCCCTGTCTGCAAGAGTTCACTGGCAAAAAAGCACATACTGTTTTCTACTTAGAGAGTGAAGTTAAGATAAACACAGTTATTTGAAGATGGACACTAATTTAAGTGAGAGGAAGAGTATGTTCAGAAGGAACACCACATGCCTGTGTTTTATCTTCTTGGAAATTTGCAGCTCTCTGTTCTTTTTTTTTTTTCTAATATAGCTTACTATATATAGTTTCCTGCTTTAAAATGTGTATAGAATTTTTACATAAGTCTCTTGATAACTATCAATGATGTAGTCACTATATTTTTATAATAGCACCTTCGCCAAGTCGGAGTCGTGGGTAAATTCGTGGAGTTCTTTGGCCCTGGTGTAGCCCAGCTGTCAATTGCTGACCGAGCCACCATTGCCAATATGTGTCCAGAGTATGGAGCAACAGCTGCCTATTTCCCAGTGGATGATATCAGCATTGGATACCTGGTGCAAACAGGTTAGCTACAAGAAGAGACATGAATTAAAGCCCAAAGCGTATATGGTGAAGCCTTTATAAGCTTGAAGCTTTTATCATATATTTTTATCAAGAATTTGCTTATTCAGCTTGTTTCTTGCTTTTGGTGTTAATAGCTGTATTTAGGAAGAGCAGAATTTTAGGTTGTCTTGTAACTGTCTGCTTAGCCCTCCTTGAACGTTGGCTGTCCAGATTACAGAAGCAGGAACCTAATCTGCTTTTGTTCTGCAAAAGCCACTGTCTGCTCAATTACTCTGTTTCTAATGAGTCCCTAGTACATGTGTTGAAAGAGCCCTTTTGTGCACAGTGCAGTGTGAACAGTGTGAAATAGCCTGTTTTACTTTCTGTCACATAGTAGTTCCTCAGGTCCACTTGTGTTTTTTTTTTTTTTTTCCTGTGTCTTGCTTTCACCACAGGCCGTGATAAAGAGAAAGTTCTGTGCACCAAAAAATATCTTGAGGCTGTGGGAATGCTGAGAGATTTCAAGAACTCCTCTCAGGATCCAGACTTCACACAGGTTAGAAATTACTGTCTTTTGACTCCCTTTTTTTATGCCCTGCCCTATTTTAATGTGATTATTATCTCTTTTTTAAAGAACCTAAAACTAGTCAAGGTACTCCTCCTTCTGTTCCTTTGACTTTTTCTGTACAGCTGTCTTATTCCACTGAGTTCTGAATTGAGCCAGCTAGCTGAGTCTCCAGGTGTGAAAATTTGGTCATCGGTATAAACTGTCAGCTGAACTCTGGCTGCTGCTGATAGCACGACTGGTTCCATGTATTTTTGAGAACGCTGGTCCAGAAATGAACAGAGTTCTTGAAGATAATGCAGATGTGTTCTCTGTAGGCCTTGTCTCATGTTTTTCCCTTGCATGTTCAGCAACTTATTTTACTGCATGATAAGGAGACTTCGAAGCTTTGTATGCTAACTGCATACCAAACAAGCTGTTTTCTGAGCAAAAAAAATCAAGATCGTAGTCTGTATCTAGGCAACTCAAGATTAGTTCCAATTTTGTAACTTATGTTCAGTTTTGTATGCTTATTAAAAAAAAAAAAAAAAGAAGAAGGAAACACTATAAAATTTGAAACGTGGGTGAGGAATAAGAAACTGTGATAATTTCTTGTGTTTCCTAATAAGCTCTGAATATTTTCCCTAGGGTGCACATAGGCTGTTCTGGTTTATGCTAGTATCAGAATTTCTCCAAGCACTGTTTTCTGAAAAGGGTCCTGTTGCTAGTATGTGAAAGGACATAATTCTCTACACCATCTGCACTGTTCAGATGATTCCATCACACGTTGATCTTTCAATGGTTGGGATACTTCTAGGAGCCACACCTGGGAGCTAGCAGGGTCTCAGTGTAGATCTGTTCCTTCTCTTCTGATCTTTCCCATCTCATGTCTCTGATAATTTTTATAAACATAAAAATGTGCAGACTTAGCATTCATTCAGCAGTGAAGCAGAGCTCACATGTGACTTAACTAGCTTCAGCTTGTCGTAAATGCTGAATCCCTCTCTGCTGTTCTTACTGAATAGGTTGTTGAGTTGGATCTTCATACTGTTGTGCCTTGCTGCAGCGGACCAAAAAGACCCCAGGACAAAGTTGCTGTGTCAGATATGAAGAAGGACTTTGAGACTTGTCTGGGAGCAAAGGTGACTGGGAACATGTGTGTCTACAAACTAATGCGAGCTTCTAAAATAGTTTAGGAAATACATTCTGGAATTGACTAGTTTGTTCCTTGCCTTCCTGTTGAAAAGTGAATGAAAGTGCTTGATTGGTGCTTGAATGCAGTATAGAAAATGATGTCATTCCTTTTGAATGTTCTTTCACCTGAAACTGTTGCTATCCTACAGTTCCTTCTGATTTTAGACCAGTATTAGGCCTAATGCAGGTTCAGTGTGTGATTGGGATCTCTAAAAAAAAGCTATGTTGGGTATTGTTGTAGTTTGGACAAAGTAGCTGCTGCACTGTCCTGTGTGATGACAGGCCAGCTCCACATCAGAGCTTTCAAAGTGTGTTAAGCCTTGAGCTCTGTAAGGTAGGTTTGTGTTCACTGCTCAAGCTAGATTCAGCAATTCAAAGCTGCTTCTGTCTCTATGACTCTTTCACATTGGTGTTGACGACAGAATAAAAGATATGTAGAGAATTAAATGCTTGTCTCTACATCATCCAATGAAAGACTATCACTGAAAGAAAAGCAGGATTTTAGTTCAAAATATTGTGCCCAAACTTGTAAAGTTACAAAATCAGTTTGAATCTTTACTTGATATGATATCCCTCCCTGATAACCTTATACAATAACTCTACCTGCTAAATAGCAGTGCAGAACTTCAGTGATTTAAGTCAAGAAGTTTTAACTGCAGTGATTTTGTTACGTTTCTAATTGCATTAAGGGACCTTATCCTTCCAAATCTCTAAACTTACTGCTTTATGCTGCAAACGGTGTCTTCTTGCTCTTTATCAACTGTCAGACTTTTGCCTCTCAAATCATCTTGTAACATACGTTTGTGTTTCTTGATGTTCACTGCTTAAAAGTCTTTCGTTTTATGGCTAACATCTCAGAACTAGGCTGTGTAGCAAGACTATCATGGGGAATTTTTGCTTTCCAGTATGTGATCAGGAATCCAGAGCAAGTAGGTCAGAAGCATCTGATTAAACCAAAGGGGGATAAATTCATGCAGGAAGAAAACACAAATACTTTTGCTTTGAATGCTGTTTTACCAGTAAAAAGAGAACAGGATATAGAGCCATGGAAATTATTTTTGTCCATCACTTTGACCAAAGATGCAAACCTCCAGCACCAGTGCAAGCACTGGTGTGACTGCAGACACTTCTCAGTCATGGAGTTTGCAGTTGGTTTCCAGTCAAAATACTTACATTAGAGGCATCCTATTTGATTTTTTTTCTTTTTCCTCTTACAGCAAGGATTCAAGGGATTCCAGATTGCCCCAGATCGACACAACAGCATAGTCAAATTTAACTTTGAGGGCTGCGACTTCGAGCTATCTCATGGCTCAGTAGTGATTGCTGCCATTACAAGCTGTACTAATACCAGTAACCCCTCAGTCATGTTGGGAGCAGGTAAGTATATCTGCTCGGTTTTATGTGCAGCAGTGTTTCTATGGCTCTGGCTGTGTGTTGTGAAGACAAAGACAACACTAACTCTGTTTTCGTCATTTGGCATACTAGAATTGAGAGTAGTCCTTAAGGAATAGCAGAAGAAATTCTGGACATAATAGCTGGAAATGTGGGTTGAAGTAAGTGTATTTTTCCTGCGCTGTTTTCTCTCCAGGTCAAACTGGAGCTGAATTAACCAGCACCTCTGATACTTGATTAGATGCACAAAAGCTGCTCTGTAGATCTGTGATAGGAGTAGAGGAGGGACTACTGAAAGTCAGCACCACAGGGAAAGGGTCAGTGAAGAAGGGTCTGTTATTTTAAATCTGGAGGTGCTTTTCTCTATCAGCACAGTATGAGGCGTATGCTTAGCTGTCTGAACAATTGTCTGAGGGTAGGTAGGGACAAATAAATGAGGAAAAATGTGTTCTCTGGAATTTCTGTCCCCCAGAGCCTTGTCATTTTCACCTGAACTGTGTCCAAGAAATGGTCCTAGGTGGACTTTTTTCTCCCACTCTCTTGCTTATCACCATGCAAATATTATAATATAATACAGTTGGTGTGAATATGAATAGATAAAATTTGAGCTAAGATAACTGTACCAAACAAGCTGCCTTATACATTTGTCTGTCAGTAAGATACAGCTCGTGTTTCAGCAACGTATTGTATCTCTAAGGTGATCTTCAGATGTATTGTAGAGAAGTATTGAAATGATTGAACATATGGCAAAGATTCCCACTGGTTGGGATCAGCAGTGCCATAGTACAACTCCTGATTGATAGCAGTACCAATCAGGAAGTACCACTTAAAAGAGTTTGTAAGGGAAGCTATCTTTTGAAATTAATAGTATGTGGTTATTGTTATTTATATATATATCTCTACTGCTAAGAATCTAGAGCTTGACTCTTACAGAAAGCCATGGCAAAGCTAGCTACCTTAAAATACCTGAAAACAGACAGAAGGAAATAAAGATCAGAATGTTTTCTGTTGTCCTCATCTCCTATGTTGCCAAGACTTATGTTATTGGACCCTCCATCCCTCCCACCAGAATACTGTGGGAGTTGGTTTGTTCTGGAGCAACTGATGTACCTTCCTATGAGTGGCAAGTGCTTTTTCCTTTGCTGGAAATTCAGGAAGTGAGGGAGGCCTTTTGCAGTCACATTTTATTTTGGTGAATCTGTGCAGATTAAATCAGTGATTCAAGTTTTGCTTGGTTTCAGTGTGAAAAACTCTCAAAGGTCCTTTCCTACCCAGTACTTCTACCTTAAACATTTATTCAAAGATTGCAGCATAGTCAATAAGTAAGGCTATCCGTGGTCTTAAATTGCTCACTTTCAGCCAGTAGCCAGAGATTCTGTGAAAAGCTGATGGCTGAGAAGATACTTTATTTGCCAGAGCTCTCCTTGGAAGAAACATGAGGTAAACATTTGTTTTCCTCTTCATCTGTAAAAATTTGTGATTCGTTTTCTTCCATCTTCAGTGCTCCAGCAGCATCACAAGCCATCTCTGTTTCTTGCACCTTAGAGAGGAACAGGGTTAATGTTTCCCAGTTCACTTGTCCTTAATCCAACTGGATGAGGTCCATCCTGATAACAATCACAGTTGCTGAGCTGTGTTTCTTTCTTCTGAGGATCGAGAAGTGGTTTTCCTTCAGGCAGACTGTCTTTGCTCAGTTTTTTTCCTTTAGTTCTAGGTATCCTTCGGTTGTTCCACCAATGTAGTATAGTTTCCTCAAACCTTTGGCTTCCAGGCTAATGGTGTGCATTTTACTTCTCTGTGGCATAAGATTCTGGTCTTTCGGCCTAATTATTTTACTGGCTCAAAAAGTTTAATGCACAGAAGTCTCTGCAGATACCATCAAGTTAGTACTCTGAATGCATTCACTACAGTGTAGTACACAGCAGCCTGAAAAATGCAGTGCCAAGGATCTCAACTGGATATTCACTCAGATCCAGTAGCAGCTGTAACCTTTGCTGCCTTACTCTTTGGCCTTGTCAAGCAGGGAAAGAATAATTCTTTCAGTCTGTGGTAACTGTTTATACACAACCTTCTTGAGAACCCTCAGAGATATCCACAGCAAAAATGATAATTTCTTATTCAAAGTGGAGTTTGAAATTAAATAAAACGTACAGTGCTAAAGGAAACCCAAAATATGGAAAGTTTTTCAATCTACAAGAGTATATTCTGTGCTCTATATGGTATGGGAGGGCTGTATGTTTGTATGGACAGTGTGCATATTTGTAGTAGCCTTGACAGCCTTATCTGATTTAGAAAAAGAGTTGGATTAAGATTTCTCATGTCATTGCCTTGCCTGGTTTAGAGTTTGATTTTGCATTCTTTTCAGAGCTGGTATTTGCAGGAAAGCAGAAGCCAACACTTTCAGAGGGGCTGTCAGCCTCTCAGATCTTAGGATGATCATCTGTTCATGGTTACCGAGTATCCAGGAACTCCTGTTCACAACAGCTGTCTCTGACAGCTAGGTGGCCTCAGCAATATCAAGAATGGGGCCACTTTTTTGATATGTGATCTACTGTTAGGCCTCCAAATCTAACGGTAGATCACAGAATACTCTAAGAAGAGTTCTCCAGGATGTGTCTAATGGAATGCCCAACAGCTGACAAAAAACAAACTAGTGTGGTGATTATCTTTCTGCTAGAGCTCATGCTGGATCACAGCAGAGCTCACATACACTTTCTTATCCAAGTAAGCGTGTTTTGGAGAAAACTTACCATTTAAAATTTTAAAAAGGTAAAAATTACCGTATCGTCCTGGTAAGGAGCTGGAGAAGGTTTGTTTTCTGAACATTCCTCTGCATATGAACTACTCATTTAAACAGAAGGTCAGAATCTATCCGTTTCTGGCAACATACCTGTTCCACAAGATCATCTCTATGCACATTGCAAATAAGGATTGGTAAAATAGCACTCCAGTAATGAATTGTGATGAGGACCAGTTGCTGTACTCAGAAGCAATATGTCTGAGTGCACCAATGGGTTCTTATTTCAGCACTAAACTGCCAGAGGTGGGAAGGTAACAATCCTTTATTGCATTTTTGGTGAGATGTTTGACTTATGGCTATTGTTTGTTTAACCAGTGGAGTCCTGAATGTCTGCATGGCACCCCTGTGTGCATTTTGTTGAATGTAATTTCCGATGACTTTCTAATGAAACAGAAATTGCAGACTGGGTTTACAGTTCAGCAGTGCACTTGTGCTCTAGCTGGTTACCCTCTAACTAGTGCTGTAGTCCTTTTCTACTCTCCACTTATTTAATGACACTGCTGTTACCCTGTTGATCCACCAAACTATTCGACTTCCAGGAAAAACTGCAACTATCCTTCGCATTTTTCAGGATTGCTTGCCAAGAAAGCTGTTGAAGCTGGTTTGACAGTGAAGCCTTACATTAAAACTAGCCTGTCCCCAGGAAGTGGAGTTGTCACTTACTATCTGAGAGAGAGTGGAGTCATGAGTTACCTTTCTCAACTAGGGTAAGTGAGCTTTTCTTACTGTTGTCCAGTGCTTAACTGTAAGCACTGCCAAGTGTTGCAGTGGAATAACTCTTAATCTGCACAGATTAAAAGATATGGCAGATGGCCTACAACATGCCCCTGCATGAATTAATTCAAAACAGCATTGCTGCCAGTCGTGCTGGCTGACTTAGTTCCAGGAGGGGAAACGGCTTGCTGCCTTCTTGAAGACTCATGTTTCTATGTAGGAAAACGGATTCTTTTTCAAGAATAATTGTTTTAAAATAGCATAAATGACAGTGTATTGTTGTTCATCTTGCTAGATAGCAGGAGTTTCCCAGCTCTTTGCTGTGTTCAGCAAATGGAATGTCATTGCAATAGTAAAAAGTGGTCATTCTTGAAAATGCTGTTTTCAGCAGAAGTGGATTTGTTAAAACAGTACATCTTCTGAAAGTAAGCCTTACCAATTGCTAAGGAGTTAAACACCTAGCTCCAAAATAGTGTTTTAATTCCTTGCTGATCTTCGTGCCCTGTCTAGGTTTGATGTAGTGGGTTATGGCTGTATGACTTGTATTGGCAATAGTGGACCCTTGCCAGACTCCGTTGTTGAAGCCATTTTACAGGTATGCATCAGTCAGATTTCCATGTGCGTTTTATATAGGTAAGTTATTCTCTGTGCAGTATTGAGCTAAACCTTCTCAAGTGTGCATGAAGTAAATGCAGTTCATTTTCTGTGGGAAGTACTTGGGGATCATTTGGAAGGAGACAGGTCTTTGTCTCTCCTCTTAACTGATGTTGCAGCATGATGCAACTCTGCAAACCTGCTGCACCAGCTTTCTTGTCTCAAACTTTTGCAGGGAGACCTCGTAGCAGTGGGTGTTTTGTCTGGCAACAGGAACTTTGAAGGGCGTGTGCATCCCAACACCCGTGCTAACTACCTAGCCTCTCCACCACTGGTGATAGCCTACGCAATTGCAGGAACTGTCCGGATTGACTTTGAGAAAGAGCCTTTGGGTAAGACACTGTGGGATGCTTCTTCTCATACCTTATAAATGGAACTAGTTGGAATCGAGCTCTTAAGAAACGTTTGTCCCAAGGAGGTACTTCAAACGTGTGAGTACGTCTGGGATACTAAGCATGCAATTGTCAAGCAGCAGAGCAAAAATTGAGTCTATGTGTTGGAGGAAGGGGAAAGCCATTTTTGCCCTATGTTCTAATTCCATGGGAGACATTTTGATTTTATATGGGTGGTGGTTTTTCATGAGCAGCCTGATCTAATAGACTTTCTTTGAGTAGGTGGTTCAACTTGACAAATGTTATAGATCCTTTCTAACCTAAATTATTGTACAAATATTCTGACAGACGAGTAGGAATCACAAAAGTAGGCATATGTACAGGCATCAAGTTCATGAGGCTATCATCCATCAGATTCTTGTAGTTGAAAAAGGGTATTTCTCGTGAGTTTTTGTTGGGTTAGGAGGAATGCACAGCTGGAGTGCACAAGATATCTTTTATTTATTTTTCTTAATGGAACACGTATACAGCAGGTATAACATTATCAATTTATACAGGAATAAATGCTTCAGGGAAGAAGATTTTCCTGAAAGACATCTGGCCAACACGAAATGAGATACAGGCTGTTGAGCGTCAGTTTGTTATTCCTGGGATGTTCAAGGAGGTCTACCAAAAAATAGAGGTAAATTAATTCTTTGGGAAGTGGTTTTATTTATAAGTGCTGTGCTATTCTGAAGATGTTAAGTGAATAGGTTTTGACAGTGAAAAGAACCTTTTCCTTCTGTTGCTGTTGCTCTGGTTGTGACAATATTCAAGTGAGATTTTATTTATTATTTCAAATGGCTCCTAGCTATGTAATTAGTTCTTATGGCTAGTCGTGTCCTGAATATTGCAGATTATGGACTTTAAACAGTTATTTTTTAGGCTGATATTAGAAAGTGAGATGTTCCAGCCTCTCAGATATTTTTCTTCAGATGACATAAAATTCATCTGCGTTACTTGATAGCATTAATGGCAGAGAAAAACTTGTTCTTGGTAAGCTATTCCTGTAAGTCTTCCTCAGGTACTGAAACAAAATGTTCTTGGGGTTTACATGGTAGGAAAGTTTCCTTGAGAATTAGAAAGTGTTATCTGCCTCCATAACATAGATAAATGCTAGAAAACTGGGTGAGTAGCTCTTCTGCAATGAAGGGAGTGTGCTTGCGTTTCCTTACTCTTTCTTTTAATAGGTAGAGTCATTAAAACAAAGCAAAAAAAGAATATAGTGGCACAAGAACTTCCCAAAAGCCTGAAAAAAATGCAAGGCTTTTGCAGAAATCAAATCAGTTGCTTCTGAAAACTTAGAGGTGGAATGTTTATGTGTTTTTCAGACAGTAAATGAATCTTGGAATGCCTTAGATGCTCCCTCAGACAAGCTATATACTTGGAATCCAAAGTCAACTTATATCAAGTCTCCACCTTTCTTTGATGGTCTGGTAAGTGTGCACTTCCCCTTTGAATCAGGCCAAACACTATAGCAACCATGACTAATCTGGAGGATGAAGGAGAGGCACATCAAGGGGCCTGGAAGCATCCATGATAGTCTGCTTCATTTCTGAGATGTTATCATTGCACTCATTCATTTCAATACACAGGCACAAGCAAATCTAAAAATTACAAGCATTCGCTATTGCTCCAAGATTTTTGAAAATTTGCCTTTCTTGTAAAGCTGGGATAGTTTTGAGTAGTAACAAAACAAATGAAGGAAAAGGAAAGGAGCCCATATATCTTCTTGCCTGCATTTTGCACTAGTTAATTCAGCACTCAGATGCAGTTTCAGCATTGTTGAAAAGAAAATGCAAATTTCGGTGCGTGCAGATGTCTAGAAGTCATGGATTTTCCTCTGTGTTCATGCATGTGCTGTTGAAGCCCTCAGCTAGCTTTTTTGCCTCATCTATTTTATACATACATGAATTTGCTGACAGGCAGCCAGGACATCATACTTGGTTTAAGAATGACTATATCTTTCATACCATTTTTTACTTTATCCTAACCTATATGAAAAGAGAGGCTCTACATATTTTGTCTTTTTGAGAAAGGTAAGGAAATTGTGTATCATTTTAAAATCATGTTCTTTGCATTTGTGGTGGCTTAGACTTTGGCTCTGCAGAAGCCCAAAACTATAGAAGATGCTTATGTCCTATTGAATTTTGGAGATTCTGTGACAACGGACCACATATCACCAGCTGGAAATATAGCAAGGAATAGTCCTGCAGCCCGTTATTTGACCAGCAGAGGGTAAGCACTACATTCTTGTTCCTGTTACAAATTGGCAAGAGGAAACGAGCCACAGTTACTATGACATGTTATGGACACACTGTCAGCTGTCTGTTCATAGACACTTGTGTACTTTGGATGATGCTTGGAGAATACGTAAAAGAAGAAAGGAAAGCATTCCTGTGTTGTTTCAGCATTTGACACTGGTTCTAAAAGCTTGTGTAGGGTATGCAGATGTATTCAACTTGAGAACTGAAGATGTTTTTATGAAAGATGATGGTTCAGGCTAGTTTTTTTACTAAGTCAATTCATAAATAAAGGAATGAGGTTCTTTTCTTCCCTATCAAAGCAGAATCGTCACAGTCCTTGGGGCCAAAAACTGGTTCTGTATTCACTTGTAGCTTGTACAGCAATTTCACGTAGCTAGGATATTATGAACAACAGTCGTTTGGGTTTCAGTGCAGCTGCAATGACTGGCAGAGCTATTGTGTTCGGCCTACAAGCTGTTGTAAACTGCTTCTTTGCTATGGACAGCCTGTCAGTTCAGTACTGTGGGCTCAATTTAAGACAAAAACAGGCTTTCCTGAGTCTCCCTATTCACTCTGCACATGTAATATAAGTTATTTATTCTCTGGTTTAGCCTTGCTTACAAATTCTGTGGAGTTTTGAGGAACAGTACTGACAGTTTAGAAATCAAGTATTTTCACTAGATTTAATAAATTTGGAGAGAAAATTGATAAAAACTGTGCGGTCTACTGACAATTAACTGTTTTGGCTTCTTTGGCCCACTTTGAAATCTAAATACCTCCCTTCTGAATATAGTCCAATATAAACAGTTCAGTTTTATGTCATATTCTTGTGATTTTTTTTTTTTTCCTTACTGCTTAGTGTGGATTCTCCTTTCATTCCCACATCCATATTTTCAAACATAATTTTTCTCCCTCAGTTCTCACTTCCAGCAAAGATTCCCTCTTTGCCCTATAGGTATTTATCACAGTGGTATCTCTAATGCTGTGGTAATAGAAATAACCATGACAAATTTCAGTAGCCAGCTATTAAGTGAAGCTGAGAAAAGCTGTTTCATGATTTGTAAGAAAGGATTGTATTGCTTCTCCTGACCCAACGTAGCAGTATCTCTGCATTACTGTCAGATATGTTTTGTAGGGCACAGGGTGAGAATACCAGTACAGCTGCTTTCTGTGTCCAGGCTAAGTAGGCAGACTTCTATTCTTTTTTCTTCCACTTTTTTTCTTTTCCTGTTCTTTTTTTCTTCTTTAAATAACCATAGAAACACCAGAGAACTGGGTGCAACTGCCATGATGGGAGCGATCCATAGCTGCTTCAGGGCCACTAGCTAATGACTGTATTTAAACCAACAGTCCTGTTTTTCATTAATAGCTTGACTCCTCGAGAGTTCAATTCCTATGGTTCTCGCAGAGGGAATGATGCTGTCATGGCCAGAGGAACATTTGCAAACATTCGTCTGGTGAATAAATTTATTGATAAACAGGGACCTCAAACTGTCCATTTCCCTTCAGGAGAAACAGTAAGTATACATGCTGCTTTAAAATGAGGTTCCTTGGCAGTAGATTGGATTAGCACTAGCTCTCCTTCTTACAGGTTACGTCATTTATTTCAGCACCTTTTAAGTAAAACTAAAGAGGAGACTGAAGATTCATTGACTCAGGGCAGCAGGTCACACATAACTGCATAAGGTGGTGCTCTCAGGCTTAACAGTGGAGAGCAGAACCATTGTAGTAGTGAGAATGGAAAGTGTGGGCTGTGGTAGAAATGTGTTCAGGCTAGGAATCACAAAGTGCCGTGTAACTTAACGTGGAGCTTGGCATAAAGTGTGGGCTTCAGCTCTTAATGTGAAAACACAATTTTCTTATTTCCACAGAAGTGTATTTCCACCCCCAATAGTATATAAAGTGTTTGATATTTTCATTGCAGCTGGATGTGTTCGATGCTGCAGAAAGATACAAGCAGGCTGGCCATCCATTGATTGTGCTTGCTGGGAAGGAATATGGTGCAGGAAGCTCAAGAGACTGGGCAGCCAAAGGGCCGTTCCTCTTGGTAAGTAACTCAAGTAAAGTAGGAGGAGGAGAATACTTAGAAGTTCACTCACTTTTTCAGGATGAGTAGCTTACAGCATTATCGTAGGTAGCTTATTCTCATTCTGGATATCAGAAGCTATTATGAAGTACAATCTGAATCCAAGAGCCACAGTACATTTGCAAATATATTCAAATATTCATAGAGCCCATTTAGGCAGGAATGCATGACTGAGCTTCAGCTAGCTTTCTATACACCAGCAAGGCCATTTTCTTTAGTCTTGCATCATACAGCCCAATAAGCCTTGGGTCTGCTTCAGACTGCTTTCTTCAGCTTGCTTATCAGAGAAGATATAAAGTGCATTAAGTGAAGTATTAGTGAACTTGATATTTAGCATTGCTTCACCATGCAGGTCAGGAATTCCTATCAATATTGTTATTGGATCATGGTGTAAATCCAGGTACAGTGGAACATCTGTCTTGTTCTGTATCCTGTCCTACATTATTCAGCAGCCTTTTCAAGGTGATTCAAGTTTTCTTGGTAAGCAGTTTTTGAATGCAAAAGTTGTGTGCATTTTTAAGCAACGAATTAAGAGGGTTAGTGTTTAGGATTACATTTGCCTGAGTTTTTAAAATTTCTATTGCAATGGTGAATTTTGTGTAAACTGTATTTGCACGTAGGCATGTAAAGATCAGTAAAATGTACATCTGGAACATCTAGGGTAGGAGAACACTGAAGTAGCAAAAATTACAAAAATTACTATTGGTACTCTACGTGTAACACAAAGAAGTCTACAAAAAACACACAGGAAAATTACACAGAATTCCCAGAAAAGTGCGTGTACTTTTTTGGCAATCTTTCTTTTTAAGATGTTTAAAAGTTGACATATAATCAAGTTATTGTGGACAGTCCACTGAGTAGCAGTACCTACTGACTAGTGACAGTCGGTAAATGAAAGGTTACCAGTTTTATTCCTGTGAGAACAGAAGGTCTATCCTGAGCCATCTGGATAAGCATACCCATTGTGTACTTCCCAGGGCGTCAAGGCTGTGCTTGCTGAAAGCTATGAGAGGATTCATCGGAGCAACCTTGTAGGGATGGGAGTGATTCCTCTGCAATATTTACCTGGGGAGGATGCAAGGACTTTAGGACTCAGTGGAAGAGAACGTTACACAATTATAATTCCTGAGAATCTAAAACCACAGATGAATATCGAGATCAAGGTATGAAATGCCTAAGGGCTGCTACTTGAATCAACTGTCTCTACAAACAGTGTTTTTTCCAGTAATCTCTCTTTTCAGGAAGGCAAAAGAATTGAGGGCAGGGGATTGGACTAGATGATCTTTTGATGTCCCTTCCAATCCCTGACATTCTGTTATTCCGAGGAAGCAGTAATTCTCCCATCGTTGAAAGCAATGATGGGAGATAAAAGCAGCATTCTTAAACAGCTTCATTCAGCACAAAGCAGTCCTGTATTGTGGAGTAGCCTACAAATGCTGTCTATGTACTCCCAATTAACATCCTGAAATTGGGAAAGCGTAGATCCCAGCGAATTCATCAGTTTATTATAAAGTCACTGATGAAAATAGCTTTCAGCAAAACTGAGGTAGTTTGATTCACTTCCTGCTCCTGACTTTCTTCTTCCCATACAGAGCTCTAGTGAATGCTAATGCAATTAGCGTTGCTGTTGTACCTAAGCAAGGAGAATGACTACACAGAAAAACATTGATAGTTAGTATAACCACTTGATTGAGTGGTCAGCTTACGTGCCACTAGGCTTGTATCAACCTTAAATCTGTTAAGAGACAGTAAGTGCGGTGCAAGGAGTCTCCATATTCTGCTTATTATGGCTTGTTTCAAGCCAACTTACTCTGAAGATGTTGGCTGTGGTCTGGTGTGGCCCCTTGTCTTAAAAAGAAGTACTGATGTCTACTTGCTGTTCATTTGAGCTATTAAGATTAGAAAACTATCATAACAGCCTGTATTTTACTATCATGCGATAAGTTCTGCTGCTTGAACAATTCTCTTTGACCTCAACAGCTGGATACTGGAAAAACCTTTCATGCCATCATGAGGTTTGACACGGACGTGGAACTCACTTACTTCCACAATGGAGGCATTCTGAACTACATGATTCGTAAAATGGCATCATAATCAAAAATACTGGGCACAGCCTCGCAGGTACAGGCCTGCTTTTGGTGAGCACGACAAAACTAATCAGTAATAATGAAGTTAGAAGAACGAACCGTAAACTGAACAGTGGTTTCTTGGATTTTTGTTCTTTTAAACAGGCCTTTTGAAAGGCTTGCTGACCATGCTGAATGATTCTGTGTATCAGGAAACTTGTCACTTTTGCCCATTAAAGAAAACAACTTTTTTTTAGTTTTGAATGGCAACTGAAAATTGTAGTTGGATTTGATTTACTTTACGTGGTGCAAAAGTCATTAAAATGCTGACAGAATCTGTGGAACTATTGAAGATCATATGCTGGTTTTTATGTATTTGGTCCATTTCCTTTGACTGCTAAGTTCAGTTCTGTGTTATATTTAGTGGTCCAAAAACTAACTGACAGCATACGTTTAATTTTTATTCCTTCCTGATTATCTGATATTGACTTCCTTTCTTATCCAGCTGACCAGATTCTGAATCTAATATTGAAATTAATCATCTAGCTGTTTATTAATTCAAAAGAAATGTGAGCTCTGTTACTTTAAAATCTAAGCCTTTGTGGAAAGGTGGACCTATGGGGATAATATTTCTAATGGATAAAATTAAACTTATTTTCAAGGAGTTCAGTGTGTTGTTTCATGTTATCCTAGGTACTAAGATACAGAAGAAAGCTTCAACTTTATTTTCTCATTGTCTGTATTGGAGCAGGACCCCACCAATCGTATCCTGTCATATTTTAATTCTCACTTGTTTCTTTGAATAATCCACATGAGACAGGATGGCAACGAAAACTGTCCAACGCTAGCAGTCTTCTGTAGCTCAGCATGATACTGCTGATTTAATTCCTTCCCCTGTTCTGTGTCCTCAAGAAAATAATTTACCACACTTCCAAGATCTACATCAGCAAGTTTATGACAGTGAGCAACCAGTAATAGTAATACAGTCACTGAAGCCATACCCATGTACAGTGATAACAAATACCTTCTTACTCAGAGATAAACAAGGTGATAACACTAACCCTTATTCCTAACTGTACGTAGAGCAACTGCCAAAACCATTAACAGTGGAGAAATTCTTTCAGAGTAATCTCTTAATACTTATATTTTCAGTGCACTTCGCACCCGCTCTGTTGGGCTGGAGTGCAGTGTAATTAGTTTTGAAAGAAATCAAAGGACTGGAGGAAGGGACAGAGATTACACTGTACCTGCAACAGCCTGCTGATGACAGCAGCACTGCTGAGGCTGCACCTGAGGTACTAATCTCTCTAGTTATGGACTCCCTGAGAGAAAGAAAAGCTGGGTCTTTTCAGCTTACGGAAGGCTCAGGGCCAGCTCAGCCACCCGTGTGTACAAATAGCCAAAGGGACAGCACACAGAAGATGGATGCAGGCTCCTATAGGTGCAGCAGCAGGACTGGAAGCAATGGGCACACATTAAAACAGGAGGTTCTGACTGAAGATCAAGAAACACTTTCTCACCGAAGGTGACTGCGCACATTCACAGGTTGCCCTGAGGAGTTCTGGGTGCTCCATCCTTGGTGGCATCCAGAAGGCTGGGCATCTTGCTGCAGGTAGGAGGCTCTGCCTGAGCAGAGACTTTGGACAAGATGACCTCCGGAGATTCTTTCTAACCTCTGCCATTCTGTGAAACATCTTGAGAGCTGTTAATGTGGTCATCATCTTCAGCACTGTTTGGTAAGAAATACACAGCTTTTGGTTCAAACTCTGAAAAAATAAATCATCTGACAGGCCAGTCTTCTTCAAAGTCTTTGTTCCTAATATTGGTGAAGGGGAGGCATTATCATATTGGAAACCATCCTTTCTTTCATGTTTCTTTTCGGAAGCAGCTGTATGAACAAATTTACTGGGTTAAAAACAATGCCCAGAAGAAAGAAATTGTAGGACTGGATTGCTGACTTCCTGTAGATAGTGCATACAGCTTTCATAATAAAGGAAGGGAGCAGGACACAACACACACCCGTGCTTAGAAAGTTTTTAATTCTTAATGCCATACGACTGTTTAAAAGAGGGCTGGAGATCTCACTGACTAGGATCTAGATAGTTTAAGTAACTTTTGGACTTTGAGTTTATTGTTCAAGGTGCTTTTTCCTTCAGAGTTGAGTAAGGTCATAATTCTTCTACATGCATACATTGCTGCACTATTATTGGGGGCTGGACGTGCTGACCTGTTGAAGTCTCTTCCAACTCCTGTAGGTCTGTGATGGACAATGAAAAGTAATCTGTCTGTCGTCGTGGTTCCAGAAACGTTGAAGATTAAGTGCTTTGAAGTGTACAGGTTTAATGGTTTCCCACTTACCTTTAAAACAACTTCTGTTTTTCTTAGCAAAGACTGGGACGGAGGTAGGGAGAAGGGATTTAAACACTGATATTTAGACTCAAATCTGATTCTGTGTGAGCTCTGACAGGAGACCTGCAGAATTCATATCAGTATCTCAAGTGATATCAAATACCAGCACGTGAGGACAACAGGATAACAGTGTAAATACTAATCACCATTCAGATTAAGCCTTCAGCCATCTTACAGGGCACTGCCTTTTCTCCCATGGGGCTAGTGGAGGTGAGTTAAGGCAACTTGAGCAAAGTGACAGACCTGCAATGATGGAAGAAAGCAGTGCTGTCAACGCTGTCACTGCAATACAGAAATGCCTCCCCCAGGCATCCTGAAGCCATGCCCTTTGTTGGCTGAACCGTGCCACCTTTCTTAAAGGTGGATTCAAAAAGATGCTCTTTCTTATGTAACTTAGTTGGACATTTCCCTCCACTCGTTGCTGTACCACGATGTTTACATCATTAAGAATATCCCAGTGTTCCGCATCAGAACATCACCAGTGGACCAGTGGGAGTTAACGAGTCAATGTTGTGGTTCCCCTTATTGCCTTCTGTGGACTCTTTGAGCATCCTGATGGGATACCTCCTTTGGTAAATGTAAAAGGAGAACTGGTTTCAACGGATGGAGAGAAGGCTGAGGTACTGAATGAGTTCTTTGCTTCGGTCTTCACTGGCAGCCAGGACTTCTTCTGTCCCTGAGCCCTGCATCCCTACACCTCTGGGTGGGGACTGGGGTGGTAAATCCCCCCCCGCTGTGAGGACAGAGCAGGTCCGAGACCGCCTCATGAGACTGAATGTGTACAAGTCTATGGGGCCGGATGGTGTGCATCCCAGGGTTCTGAAGGAGCTGGCTGAGGTGGTTGCCGAGCCGCTCTCCATCATATTTGAGAAGTCGTGGCTGTCTGGTGTGGTCCCGGATGACTGGAGGAAGGGTCACGTCACTCCCATTTACAAGAAGGGGAGCAAGGAGGAGCACAGGAACTACAGGCCGGTGAGTCTCACCTCTGTGCCTGGGAAGATCATGGAACAGATCATCCTGGATGAC